AACAGTTCACTCTTCCCCTAATCTATGAAAGGTCATGTACACCACTCCAAAATGGCCATCCATCCCTGGAGCAGAAGAACAATTATTTAACAATGCCACTTCGTGCTTTCTCATGAATCCAGTTAAGAAAAAGCTTCTGATAAACACCAAAGAAATACTGCTCAGAAATATACAAAATTTACTTCCAAGTTTTATCTTTGGCCTTTTTGAATGTGTAGCCAATGAGTGCAATCTTGACATGCACTGTGCAGTGTCACTAGGCCTATGACCCACCTGAAAGGGAATCATCAGGAAAATCTGAGTATCCGAGGTACTCCACCACTATCACTTCAAACGGAGAACAGAAGAGATAGTAATCGACAGCAAGACGGATTGTTAGCATCAAAAAAGTGGTTTCCTGAGCAACTGGCATGCAAACCAAGCACCTGCCACCTTAACACTGTGAGCTGACTGTAGTGCAAACAGGATCAAAGGGGTTTGAGACACACATTAGGTTTCAAGAAACAAAACTGATGGATTCTTCCAGAACTGGGAAGAATAAAAACTATTTTAGATGACAGTAAAATAGGTATTCACAGTCACATCTGATCCAACACTGATTAACACTGAACACAAACCAGACCTAATATTGGATTAAGTCAACCAATTGGTTTAATGAGGGGAAGTGAATATGAAGACTTAGATCCCAGCATGGAAGAACTAGGGGTGACATCACACTCCGGACATTAGGAGGGCAATTTATCTTATCCTATGTGGTTAAGTGGCTTTGAGAGGTCAGGTACACATTCCCCTCCATTAACTGTCATTGCACTGCAGGGTGACAAGCTCAGATTTACAGGTGTACCTTTGGGATGTCCAAAGTTAAATGGGAGGCATCCCACCTCACATACCAACTGACTTCTTATCCTAAGGCAAGAAAGACAGGAGAAGCTGACAACATTACCTACACTCTCAAGAAACAGTAGGAACTTTGTTATTTCCTGTGACACTTACGGGAGTTACCTGAACCTCCCTCTGCTCAGTTTAAGCTTAGAAGAGAGCCACAGTTCTATCTGTCTTCTCTTGACTTTCTCAGTCAACACACTCCATTTACTACAGTCAATATATTTTAAAATTGTACTGAAATTTCATACAAAACATGCCCAAAAGATAAAGGAACTTCAAGAAGAAGGGAAGAGAGTGCCAAGGTGCTATTCTTGCTCAAGAATTTGGGACATGTATTTCCATAAGCTATGGTACTGCCAAGGCTACAGGTCTCCAGATCCTCAGGGTGTGTACTACAGCTGAGCATAATGACGCTTAAAAATCTGAAAAACAAACAAGCTTGCGAGAATTCAAACACAGTGGGCAAGCTGTAGTTTTCTTTTACTGTTATTATTCAATTCAGCTCTGCTTGATTAATGTTATGGAACCAAAATACACCAAGAAGGAAGAAGAAGGAATATATTTCATACAAAATGGGCAAAATGTTATGAAATTACAGTTATAGAGCTTAAAATATTCCTTGCAGGTATCAATTAATTTATGTTATTTATTTTTGAGATATCATTATGCTGGATAGTAAAAGAATAAACATTTTGGAGGAATTAAATCAAACACAGCTGCTTCTTCTTCTTAAAAAAAAGTGGTGCTCCAAAATAATTTATACGAGCAATTTTTTTCATCTTCCTCCAGATCTAAATATTATTAAATTTCACTAAAGATAAGACCTGTACTTGTACCACAAACAAAATCAATTAGCAGTAAAACTACACAGAAATATCGTATTAGGACACACCACATTAGGAGACAGTGGAAAAATTGAGTCAAACCCTTCTGGTGTGGAATGGGTATTATTGTATCAAGTTCAACAACACCAGGGAGTACTTCAGAAGTTTCTAAGAAGGATGGGGTATTTTGAAGAAATACAGTCTCTTCAGTACAGTAAAAAGAACAGCTTATGTTAGAAATTCTTTCAAAAAGGATCAGCATGAATTTAAGAAGTTATGTTTTCATTTTTGCATTATTTTATCACTGAAAATAATAGCTAGGGTTTAAAATAAAAGTATGTATTCCACGGTTCTGTTCTCTCTCTCAAAATGTGTACATTTATAGTTGTAGACAAAAAGATTACACATCAGTGCAACTAGGGAGCACAACTGAGGACTGAATTAGAAACAGCCAGTCTTCTCAGAAGTCAGGTCTAAACTACCAATTACTGCCTCTATGCCTGGTCAATAAGGTTACTCACCTTTTCTCATGTCACAGTCAATCGTATGCATTTAATCTCCCCATCACGTAACATTATACAGGCAGAGATAAACACACACTGTGCACTGGAGACCAGACTGAATCAGCACTGCATCCACAAGGCAAGTAATATCGAAACCACGGTACTGCTCCAAAAGAAAGTGAAGCGACTTTCGGCACTGTACCTCACAGCCAAGCAGGGGGAAAGCTAAGCTGCTTTTAGGCTGATGATGGCTTTCTGAACACTTGAGTTTTTGAGGAAATTGAAAGGGTCTGTGTGATTTTGACAGCCCTCAGAGCTTGTTTTAGGAACACTGCTGTGTCACGTCAGTGCACCCGACACAGCAGGGGCAGGGGCAGCTGCACCGCACTGCAGCATCAGCGTGTGACTTCACACTGCTTGTCTCAGCAAGAGCTCTTCCATCTGCTTTCATACCCCGAGAAGTTCAGGCAGTCTGCCATCAAGGCTTGCCCCCAGTACACTCCTCTTCTAACAGTCTCTTAAGGCCTCTCTAGTCCTACTCATAGTAAAGGAAGAGAGCAAGAGTTAGACCTATTCTCGGTCTTTCTTTGGGAGAGGGGAAATGAAAATGAAAAATACCAAACTCTTCTTAAAACAGTACCATGTAGTCAGCTAGCCAATTCGACTAACTTCACCATCACATTTTAGCAGGAAAAATGATAGATGAATAAAGTAAAAAAAGATCAACAAAAAATATACCCTACATGGCAAGTTTAGCCAAGTCCACATATCTTGACATATAGAGCACAAACCTACTGCTTGCAAACATGCAGATCCTTCCTCCACCCAGACCAGCTTGTAAGGCACGTACTCAGAGTAATACTAATGACAGGAGTGTGCAGAGATTTTAAAGAAACAGGAATCTAGTTTCCTCATAAGTAGTATCTATGTATGCATATGTGTATACACTGTAAATATTTAGCTCAACTCCTTTTTTCCACAGTGCATGAATAGCAAATGCAGCAGCATCCGCTGCAGCTCATCATTAACAAAAGAAAGTCAAGTTTTTAGAATGTGAAATCTTGTGAAAGGCTTCACAGCGCTCTAGCATAGTTACCTCCAAAAAAGCAGAAAGATCCAGTATGACCATAGAAGTGCTTTGGAAACCAAGTGTGAAATGCATTAGTCATCTAATCTCTTTTTTTAGATGGTTTTAGGTAGACAAAATTTGGCCAGACAATAGAGGTTGGGCTGTTAATCCAAGACCTTGCCTTCATGCTTCATAAACAAGACATCCTAGTGCAATGGCTCAGTACTGACTCAGAACAAAAACACTCACCTACAAGAATCAGCTTAAGTAACAGCTTTTTTTAGTGTCTAGATTTTCAGGGAAGTCTAGCCACACCTGGCTGTTCAGTGCATGGGAAAAGAAGAAAGTGACACACTGATTCTCTGTAACTGCACACTACTTCTCTGAGGCGCCAAAACCACATAAAATGGGAACAGATTGTTACATTACTGAACATACAGTAGTTCTTCTAATAGCCTAGGTATTTCAGTATACTCTGCAATATGCTACTAGCCAGAGAGTACGCAAATCACGGTCCACTGAAGCCTGAAGTGATGACCTATTTCTAGTCCCTTACTGTTGTCAGTAGGAAGATGCCACAAGAATGAAGGGCTGTGAAAAAAGTTACTTCTCTCCCCATGATGCCTCCTTCCCTACTACATCTCTGCACTGCTAAGTAAGGGCTAATCACTGGCTTAAGTCATATATTCAGTCTAGCACTGGCAGCAGGAACAGTGGTAGGGCACAGAACTGTGTTTTACTGCAGTGGTGCTGGAACATCACAGAGCCATAATTTCTGCGTGACAGTGTGCCTGAATCTCAAACATCTCCAGTGACCATTTGTAGTGAAATGTACCTCAGTACTGCTGATTCTTGCAAGCCCCTGATCAAATATGGCTATAAATACTCTAGCAAACAGAAAAGCCGGTACTATCAGGAATTCTTTCCACACTGCCTTTGACATCACAGTGTTTTACTGATGCAATGTTTCCAGGCATCTCAAGAATCAAAAAGTTTGAAATGTTTCACTACTTTTCTCTGATTTTACACTTTTACCACCAACACATTAGACGTCCTGATTTCAAAATAGGGACAATTCCATTGCCTCAATTCATAAAGAGGGCATTACCTAACTAGCTCTGTATTTGATAATTATGAATTCTGATCATAGCAAAACACAGAATGTTGTATAAATTCCAGACATGCTCAATGGAACTCTGATTTTTCATTCTGCATGAAAAAAATAATGTAGAAAAAGTCTTTTCTAGCAGATTACAAGAAAAGATAGATATTGGAAAATTGATAGAACAGTACAAGTCAGGGCAAAAAAAAGTTACTGAAGCTTGAAGGTGCTTCCATCACAAATTAAATACAACACAAGGGTCAGTTATAAAAAATGGAGAGGTGGGTCATTAGGGAGAAACAGAGGGAAAAAAAACCTCATCCATTAGAGAAAGAGGAAAGATATTATTTTTCTCCAAAGTGTTAAATTGAACTTGCTGTAAAATTGATCAGATCTCTTGAGACTCAGAAATATCCTACAGCAATTATTGATCAAAAGGAGTGAATATGCTACAGACCATGTTTATGTGCCATAAAAAAAAAAAAAAAAAAAAGGGGAAGAACTAAAGCGTGTTTAAAACATATTTAACCTCAAAACGCACTCTACTGCCGAGATAATGATTGCATGAGTTATTGCAGCAATGTGTATGAGGATAGATTATCTTCATGAAAACATACCTGGCTAGATTGAATGCATCATCGATCAAGCCTGCTCGATTACTGACAGAGATAACCTGTGAGGGGCAAGCACAAAAATTGAACCATTTAGGGTGATGAAACAGTGAAGGTTCACCTATGAAAGCAGATTTTAGGGATGCATAGAGGAGCTTACCTCATGGTTCCTTGTCAGCTGATTAATTAGCCGCCTCCAATTCCTAATATCATAATTAACTCTAAAGTAGCCAGTCTGATTGATGTTCCCCAGCAACCAACTTGCCTCTTCCAAAGCAGGAATTCTGTGGTGTTCTAGAAACAAAGAACAAGATGGGAAGGGGACTTGGTATTAAATTTAAAAGTTCTAAAGACATATCTTAAATTCTCTCCTTCTTTAAATAGCCATGAAGGCAATAAAATTAATTCAAAGACTAACAAAAACATTGTGCTTGATTCATAATTTCCTTTACCTGTTCTGATGTAGACACACACCAGCTGACATTCCTTTGAGGACCTTTTTCTCACACAGAACTCCAAGAGAGGTTTTATTCTGGCAAATAGTATATACATGAGAGGTGCCCATTTTAAGTCTCGTACCCTGATTCTGGTCATGCTAAAATAGCCTTCTACAAGGTTAACATCAACATTTCAATGGGTGTGCTATAGAAAGAAGACTAAATCTGTGATTTAAAAAAAATAAATAAATTCTTAAGTGTTTCTGGACCTAGTCAATGAAGCTTTTGGAAGTATTTGTACAGCTTCTAGCTACTAACCACTGAAAGTCTCCCCTTTACAGCTAGAAGAATTAACATTGTATCAGCTAACCTGTTCTTCCTCTTTCCCCTCTTCTTAGGTAATCACTTTGGGGCTGAAAGTCTAAATTTATTCCAGTATTTGTACAGTCAGGCAGTCCACAACTATTTGCAAGACTAGGGATTTCAACAACAAAAATGTCCTGAACTCACAACACACACTTCTTTCACTATGAAAAGAATCATTATAGAATGAAGTCTCAGGCTTCAATGTCTCTTGAAGAAGCATTCAATCTAGTAAATTATTCTGACAAAACTGATCATGAACCAGAACTCACTAAAAATTCAGCAACTTTCTTTTCTACTATAACAAAATTAGTTTGTACACTGTTGACAAAAGGAACAGTATTCTCATGCATTTTTAACAATAAAAAAGAAGTACATAAAATTTGTTTTAAATGTAATTCCATCTGGGAATTATTTGGTGTGCCTGAATTCCCTGAAAGTAACAAATGGGAAAAAATTTAACAATACCATCTTAACAATTCACACATACTATCTAGTACCTAGACTTACCACAGAAATAGGTTTGTTTCAGCCTTTCTCATAAAAAAGTAATTTCTGAGGAAATAACAGATGACTAGGACTACAAATAAAAGTTATGCTTCTCCCTTGACTAAATATCTCTAGCAAAACACACAAATAACTATCATTTTAAGGTGCAAAAAATACAAAGAGCAGCAAGACCCCAATCCTAAGAATGCCCAATTATATGTTTTAAATCATGTTTAAATCAGTTATGTTACGCACACAAAGTCAGATAAAAAGCTTCAAGATTAATAAAGTCCTCTTCTCACCTAGGTAGTTCTGACATCGTTAAAATCTCTTAAAAATACACTTCCTAGAAATAGTAAGACCAGAATAACTCAGTTGCTGCCTATTCAATTCAATTGTTATTGATCTTTCAGGGTTTGTCTAACTAACTTGCACCAGTTCAATTTAACTATTCTACACAAACAATTGAGACAAAAAAAAAATACAGACCACCAGTTTTGCTTAAAATATTGATTACATCCATCTACTTATCTGTGCTAAAGTGCCAAGCAGACACATTCTTTAGGAGCCGAAGTACCCACAGAATGGGATTAAGTAAGAAAACCAGAATTAAGTCCTACAATTCTGTGAGCTTCCCAAGCATTCATACTGTCAAAGCACCTAAGCTGCTTTTGCCAAGCAATCTGATTTGAAACCAGGTTTTAACACCAGGTGTCCTTCCTTCCACAAGGGTCTATAAAACACTGGGCTACATAGCTCAGTCTCAGCAAACTGTAGTGACGCTGCTCCTCTGTTTAGATCCTTTTTTCACTGGACCAGAAGTCAGAATCACCTAGTTGCTCCAGCCTACTTCTGGAAGACTTGAATCCTGGTTCCTGTGTAAATGACTGAATCTTATACAAAGAAAAATGTTACTGTAGAAAATACCATAGAAGATCGTAACAATTTACAGCATAGTGATAAAGGTACTTTCTTAGAACAGATTTGGATCAAGTATCTGCTGTAAAACAGGGAGAGAAGGAATTTCAATCTGGATCTACCCTGTCTTACTTCGTTTACCCAGCGTGGTGCTGTGCATACAGCCTGTCAACCCTAAATCTCAGCTATGTTCCTTATCAACCTAGTAGCTTTCTTAAGAGCAACAGCAAAAATACCCACTTCTGTATCTAGACGAAACTGCTGAGGGAAATTTCAACTTTTAGAGTTCTCTGGGTCTTCAGGGGCATACGGCTATGTGGGGTCAGGAGCAGGCTGCTCACACCTGGCAGAAAATCCAATCACCCTAACAAAGTACTGCTTTCCATCCATGCTTTTCTGTTGCAAACTAACCTTTCAATGCCACAAGCTTCAAGTAGCTACTTGTAACTGGTTAATCCCTGCATCTCCATGATACCTAAAAGCATACCAAATCAGCTGTGAGCGCACATGAATCAATATCTGGGTAAATAAATACACTGAATAGAACTTTTCAAAATCAGATGTAATAAAAAAACTACATACATTTTTTTTCTTGTTTGAGTATTTCTATTAAATTTTGGTCTCTGAAGTGAGGCAATTACTTATCCTTTAATAGAGTACTGACTGATACTTGCCAGTCCTATATGACAAATTAAAAATAACCTATTTCACAAGTAACAGCTGTGCAACACCTCCAACACATATTGCTTTAATGGAGAGCAGGATCTTTTCAAAGCTCAATGGCATTATTGCTGTTTGGATCAGTTTAAATCCAACCGTAACCCCTTGCTATTAATTTTCAGTAAGACCACTCATGTGTTGACCTTCTCCTGAAATACAGGACAAGAATCTTTCACACCTTCCAGCTCATATAAGCAGGTGGTTATTTTATGGGACTGACTGATGCATGTGCTTCCCATAGTTCTATATTATTTTCTGGAATTTGATGGTTTAGTCTGTCGATTCTCATGACTTTCTATAAAAGAAATTCTTTCTTTTGGTGATTACAGCAATGAAAATTTCTATACACCTGGGCAATTTCTCCACTTATCACAAACATATTTATTAGTTTCCCATTAGAAGTATTATAGTTAGGGAAAAGGTAGTCAGTTCAGTGTTAAACCGTCTATTAAACCATTCATGACTTTCTAAACAACAACAAAGATTTAATCTGGGAAGAAATCCATCTTTGATGGTTTTAGTTCACCTCTTAAAATTCACCTCTGAAACTTCCAGTTTTGCCACATGCATATAGGAGACACGTAGGAGGAAATGGTTAAATTTTATGACATTTGTTTTGAAGTAAGAAAATCAGCTAGGGTCTAATTCTCATTTTCTCTGCTCTGGAAGTGTGAGACAGTCCTCCAGCTGGTGCTAACTGTATGTGGCTTGAAGTTCTGAGCTCTCCCAGCTCTTGAGCAACCTCAACTCCATCAAAACCAGCAGGAATGATAGAAGCATGCTCCTCCGCACAGCACCATGAGCTCCTTGTGAGGCAGGTCTGGGCAAAGGGCACCCCTCTGCAAGACACTACTCCAATGCTGACAAAAGCGTGGGCTAAACAGTTCTACTACCATTTCAAGTGTTCAGACTCACAGTTGTTATTTTAACTCTTCATTTTATACCACCACTAGAATACTAGGAAATTGGTTTATGCTGGTAGAATCCTACTGGGAGAACTGACTCCATTTTTCTGCAAAAATAACTTGATGACAGCAGCACAATTTCATGCCAACAACAGCAAGTGAAATTCCTCTGACAAAGAAAGCGTTCCATGAGGAATTTAATCACAATTACAGTATTTTTTTGAAAGATACTGACTTTAACTAAATTCTGAAAAATTTTTTGCAAGAACTTTTCATACAGGTAGAAGGCAAATCAGAAGTTCTATTCCCCAGTGGGCAGCCAGCAAACCCCAGCTCAAAAGCAGCTGTCTTCTACAAAACTGTGGAGGAGAATCAGACTGTCGAGAGGCTTACAGTTAAAGTAGAGATTATCCAGCAGGAGGTGGCATAATATAGTAAATTGGAACTTGCTGTTTGGAAGGCAATTGCCCTGTTGAACTTTCTTTCCCCCATGTCATGGCAATCCTCTGGAGATACTAAGAAGGATCTGAATGAGAGTCACTCTACCAGAGCCAGGGAGGTCCATCAGAGAAATATTTCCCTGGGACATCACAAATCAGTCTAGGTATAGGAGGTGGGGATAGAAAGGGCAGGAAGGCAGTCTCTAAAGCTGTATCAGTCAGTTCAGCAGCACTTGCCAAGTCACATGGAGATGTTTCCTACTTGGAGCCTGAACACCAGAACAATCATGCCCAGGGAACAAGAAGTATGCCTTTGTCCAAAACCTGGGTCACCTTTTTGGAACGCATGCTAGCTAAACTTCTTCACTTGTGGTTAAGGTGACTTCTCCAGGATTTGCAGAAACATGACAGGTGAGCCTGTGCTTCCACACTTAGTATGCCTTCAGCAGCAATCACCAACACCTTCCCACAAGCCCAGCTAAGCAGTTATCCTGTGGGGACAGGCTGAGTTCAAAGCTGGTTCCTTGACTTTTTACCCACTACTGATTTTGGGCTGATCCCAAAACACTGTGGACATTATGTTCATACATCATTACAGCAACCACAAAAGGGGCAGCTTATCTAGGAAAAACAGAAACAAGCCTTGGATCTGTGACAGAGCAGAAGTTTGTAACACCAGTGACTTCCACAGTGCCAGTGAAATCGATCATTCAGCAGACCTGCAAGACTGCAGCACAAAGAGCATTGCAGTCATCTTAGTATGATGTCTCTGACCTTAGCATGGATAGGAAGGCTCATCATGAGATTCCTCCTTTGTGACTGGTTTAGTTTTCAGATGTTTAATAGCTGTCAGTCATCTGAAGCACAACAGTCTCATCCACGGCTACGGGGAGTGAACAGGGAAAAAGGTGGTAGTGACATATCTGTGTGCAGCATTCTGAGGGCAAAAGAGACAGCTCCATTTCACATGCCCAGACAAACTGACCCAGTAAAAGGATCATCTGATGGCTAGTATATGAGTGATGAGTAGAAAAATGGTTACATAAATGCTATGGCTCACTGGGTAAGGAGAAGACTGGCAGAAGCACTTGCAAAATTAAAACCTTCCAAAACTATGACTACATACTTTCCACAAACAGGGGAATATGAAACACCTTATAGATTATGTACTTTGTCAGACAAGTTGTCGAGGCCTGGCACTGTTCTCTCTACAGGTTTTGTTTAAATGACAGTGAATTACATCTCCAAAAGATGCTTGCATAGTTCTAATTTCCAGTGTGTCTTTTCACCTTGGTGTTGTGAGGAGTGGACAGAATGGGCTCTGTTGCCAGCAGCTGGGTTGATGTGCAATTATCTGAACTAATCCTGCTCAGAATATTGAACAATCACCGCTCTGCATGCCTCACTATCTTTAGTATGTAACCAGACATGGCCTGGATGAGTAGAGAACAAAAATGTAGGCATCTTAGTGGCTCTTACAAGACTGGACAACAGACTCTTATACCTCGCTCCTGAAAATGCCAACTGGCATCCTACACTACCTTGATGAGGTCACAAACACAGCAGCAAAGAAGATGCAAAAATCAGTAATTCTCTCTTGTCCTTACGGATATACACGAAGAGACTCTTCCATCCACAAATAAACACCCCTGGTGAACTCTAGTGTAAGGTAGGGGATGTACTCCCATGGGAAATTGTTATTTAAACCACCACAGAAAAGGAATATTTCTTGATGGCAATATACATAGCTATTTCAAAACTGCCATGGTTTCATTTCTTTCAGATAACACATAGACAAGGTTAATTTTATTGAAAAATTTAAGTCATATGCCAAGATACCATAATGGTAGCCATTAACTTGGACCCTCTTTCACTACTGTCAGCTGAAATGAAGTATGTGATCAGTATTACATGATAGACAGCTGTTCAACACCTCCTATCCACTCTTCAGGCTACACTGGAAGCTTCTTGAGCAGAGCAGTTTAATCAACAAGAAGGAAACACCCGCTCCTTCCTAAAGAGGGTATGGAAACCATCCTCCTGAACAGTGTTTCCTCCAAATTTGATCTGAGTATCCACATTCCATTACACTCACTTGAAGAACAATATGACTATTCTCAATCTTCCAAATGTACTCTGGAGTAGTTTGTTTCACCTCCATCTTGCAGAGTTGTTCCCAGACTACTTGCTGGGACAACACTTGAAACTGTGTCCTCCGCACAACAGAAAGTCTTCAGGACTCTTCCCATCTACAAGAATCAATCCCAGAAACTGTCCAGTCTCTGAATCCCTCCCACATCTCCATGAAACAAACACACTAGCTTCAGAAAACCTCCAGGAGTATCACAAAATCATCTATACCAGCCCCAATACATAACCGCACATCCAATGAATCATACATTGAGTACATCCAGGGATGTTGTTACTGACTTTTTTATGTTGAGGAATTCTCCAGCTGAGATAGACAACAATACTCAAAAGCAAGAGGACATCCTTGTTGTAGTCATAAATTTTAAGTCTCATTTTCAGTAAGGCACAACAAGTGAGTGAGTAAGTAATGAGGAAGGACAAGGATAATGACAATAGATCACAGTGGCATTGATTCGCTACACAGGAAACTGGTGACTCAGAAAGGTTCCTCTTTAATTTCTATATAGCAGCCACCCCAAAATCATTGCTCACACTGGCCATCATTAATTTGTTGATTTCTTGAAGACATTCCAATAGGTGCAGTAGATCTTAAAAGAGTGGGTAGTGGTTTTATGGACTTGTTCCTCCACAGCACCCTGCAAGTAAAAGGCAATGAGGAAGCAACTGTGCACGTAATAGTGATATACTGAACTTTCAAGGCAGGAGTGAAGGGGACGAAGCATGAATGTACAACCTAATGAGATGAGATGATCAACTCTCTCTGAAGTCAGTGGGAATCTTTCTATTAACTTCAATGAGAGTTCAATCAAACTCTAAAGGACAAAAGTAGAGCAGGTCAATAAGGCAGATTGTGGAAGTGCAAACAGGTTTTGAAGTATTCCAGAGTTGTTAATATTAAAAAGTATAGCAAATGAAATGTATTTCTGCAAAGTGCATCTGTATGCTCTGACTAGAGTATGTTTCCCAGGTATGAAAAGTGCCCTGGTCCCAGGCACATTTCTAGATCACTGTATCACAGGAGCAGCATAAAACATGTTACATTCTGATAGGCTACAAATGATCAGGGCAAAGAAACAGGTAATTTATACCACTAGAATACTGGGATACTCAGATTCCCACTGATCATGCACCATTCATTTTTATTTTGCTCTGTGGTTACTAAGCTCTATGTGACTATTATATTTTAGTGACTTATAAAAGAGAAAAAAAAAAGTAAAGAAACACAGGCACACACAGGCTTGACTCTTTCTTCAGTTAAATTTCTATCAGAGGGAAATCTCTATACTCTTCTAATTTTACAAGAAGGGGTCAGTTCTCCCTCTACAGCCCATGTGTTGAGGGGATGCATGGATCCTTCTTTTCCCTTCCATATAATCATTCTATTCAAGTCTCCACATCTCTTCCCCCACTCTCTTCAATTCCAGTCCAAAACTGTCAGCTGATGTAGCATGAACTGCTAAGGAAATAGAAAAATATTTCAAATTTCTATGATGGGATTCTTTTTTAGGTGATAAAAACTCACTGGTATCTAGCCCTATCTGTGCTCAGGGCAACATCTATTATGACCATGTTGGAACTGAGGAGGAAGAAAATACATAGTAAGCAGAATAAAGCGCTTTTGAGGTCCAGCATCTGGTTATCTAATAGAGAGAAGAAATACTTTCATAGATCAATAAGGAAACTTTTTTAATAACAGTAAACATTTCTTTGCCCTGGTTCAAACTATGAATTGGAGTTAGAAATGTCAGAATTCTAAATACTTTGCATTTACTAAGTCATACTCATCAGATGCTTTCCTATAAAAATATTACATTTAACTTTCACCATTCAATAAAGTGAATTGCATTCATCAATGACTTGAAATGTGTTGCTAAATATAAAATACTTAGCGCTTAGGTACACAGCTTTTCATTATACTAACTTCTGCAATAATTATAAATCTTGCTTGTTGCTCATCCTTCATTCCTCCTCCCTCCCTTCCCAACTCTCCTTTTTTTGTAATTCGTTTCAAGTAACTAAAACTGGGTGCAGAGCAACTAAACAATTATCTAGGATCAATTCCAAAGAAACAGTTGAGGAAAACACAAGTATGCTTTATGAGATTCCACTGGGAGGAAAGTTTATTTTTACCTGATTTGTTAGACACCCATATAATTGCCTCTGATGAGATGTGGCTCGTATTTCCTACTGCAATTGTTAATGGAATCTGCCACAAGTAGCTGCAAGACAAAGGAGGGGGAATCTAAGAACAAAAATACTGAACTGATTCTTCTCACAGCAATCAGGGATCATGTCAAAGAAATCAAAACACAATTTCAGTAGCAGTGTAAAGATGTGGATTCTAACAAATTACTTTGATTTTGAAATGCATTTGCTATTAGCAATAAAACAATGAAAAAGTCATTCACCTTAAAAAAAAAAAAACCTATATTTTACATTGTTCACAGACTATCACCACATGAGGACGTTTTTAGTAAGGTTTTCCTAATTTAACAAAATGATTCATAAAAAAGGAAATAGTGATTTCCCATAGAAATAACACTTTTTTACATTTACTTATAGAACCTCCAGGTAAAACATGCTTTGATTTATAGGGACTCAAAAGTTTAAAAATAACATACTCTTCTAGCAACTACTTAAAAAGCTATGATGGGCTTTCATAGCTGCTGGTTTATAAAAACAAAATGAATGGGATGGATCTCCACTTCTTTGCACCATTTATTATCACTTATATGTATGCAAACTGGACAAAACGTGGATTTGGAGATATGCTGGTGTAATCAGACCCCAACTTCCTTACGGGGTATCACAAATGCTTTCTCATTTGGAATAAATGTTATAATTAATCTAAAACTTTTATATAACATCTTTATCGCAATAACAGAAATTGACTGTATGATGTCAATCTTTTGGGAAAGAAGGATGAATTGCTGCGTGTCTTCTATCATCACCTCTATACCTGAACTCTCAAAAGTATCATTTCACCAGCCAGTGAAGGAACAGGCATTCCCTCACAGGCCTGCCATGTCATTTTGTACACCAGTCAAGGGGAAGCACTCAATAATGCTACAGGTGGTATCTTTGTCTAGGGTGTGTGTACATTTAAGCAAGGCAGCATGGCAAGAGAATGGTCCCAACTCAGGCACACTGTACACTTTGATACTAAATAACTATATAATTTCAGACTAAATTAAAATGGTGCAAGGGTGAGTGTGGGCAAGTCTTGATGCCTGCATCGGCCTCTCTCCTGCTAGTACACAGCACTGCAAAACTAGCCTATAGTACTAAAAAAAAATAGGTCTGTTCCTTTCCACTTACCCAGAAGCCTGCTCTACTGAACTACAAACACCACCCAAATGTCCCACAGCTGCAGTCAACACTGCTGGTTGGCAAGGGTTGCCTTGCAGGGCTTGCTTTGCTGGCCTCACCTGGGGGCTGGGGGACGGAGAGACCCCTGCACTGCTAGCCCTGCTGCTACACTGGGCTCCCGGCTCCCCACCCATTTGCAGAGAGCTCCTCACACACACAGGTGTTGGCAGCCCTCAGAACAGAACCGCATGTGCTGGGAAACAATTGGGCATAACGCAGTGATTCAGCAGAGAGCCAGAGATATCTGGAAAACTGTAGAGCCAAAAGAGCTATGAGTGACACTAGAAAGAAAACATGGCATTTATTGCCATATGGGAGAAGAAAAAATTGTCCCATGTGATTTTGTGTTCTCTGAATGTTGGTATCATGACACACTAGGAAAATGATTAGATTTATTCATGCACTGAAGACACACTCCACATGAGCACATGCTCTGGCAGACACTTTTTGGATAATTAAGCTGTGGCATTTGAAAATGCTACTGCCTTTATCAGTCTGCCCACTCCTTGTGCTGGACATTATCATCCTCCATAGCACAGTCAGCATAAAAAGATGTCCCCTGGTGCACTAGCTTCTCAGTTCTCGGTCTGGGGTCTTCACACAAAGTCACCTTCATTGTTGGCTTAACTAATATTCTGGACTGTGAACTGGAGTAATGAGGTGAAAACATGTATTGTGTCCTGCTGGTTCTGCTACAATGGCAGTAACTTCTGGGTTCGACAGGTGAGGGCAGTCGGGACATGCTGTGAAGTGAGGCACTGGAGAATATTCACTACTCTCTTAAATACATTATACCTTACTAAGACACCCACCCGTGTTTTAGAGTCTGTTCAAAAAACTATCTAGAAAATAGACCATCTTTAAAAACACACCCAGTTCTAAATACTCGCTCTCCAGAATGAAAAAGATGCTGGAAAACAGTGATCAAGAAAAACGAGGCAAAATTAAGCATAAAGCTCATACATTATTTGAAAGAATAGGAACTTTGGTATATGAAAAAACGAACAAACTGTATTTGCATGGTATTTTTATGACTACTGATATCAACCCCTACTGAAGAAACTGAACTGCAAAATAAAAGATACTGAGAGCTGCCTATGTAGCTGATTTAAACACATATATACACATACATAAATATTCATGTATGAACATATACATGGGCACCTGTTATTTTGAGAAGGAACTTCATATGAAGATATTTGGTACATTGCAATATCTATACATAGAAGAATTTTTTATTACCTCATATTATTTTATGTTACCTCCAATAGGTAAATCCTACTGAAATAAGGACACATCCTTCTCTGAAAGGTGATCTAGCTGTGGAACAGGAGTCATGCAAGCTACCCATCCTCAGAAAACACATTTCTTCAGTTAGGAAGATTAGTACTGGTAGATTTAACTTTTATCTCCCCAAGATGAGAGACCTCCTGATGTTCTCAGCACTCTCCAGAATCTCTCAATCTCATCCTCTTTGTTACTGGTTTACCAGGTGAGCCACAGATTTCCTTTTAATATACATCTCCAGAAACACAGTTTTCCTAATTTACTGCTGCTGTTCTCTGGATGTTCATCTGCTTTCTCCTTCCAGTCCTCTTCATTCTCAGCGAAACTTCGGCTGCTGTTGCAGAAGCAGCTGTGGCTAACTTTTTCATATATATGTTAGGGAGATGTATCTGGCTCACCTTTCAAGAATATGCATGACTTCTCCTACACACCATCTCTTAGTGATCTGTATGGACTGTGTTCTCCAAGTGTGACTACGAAAAAGCAAACTTTTCTTGCACTTTTCTATTGCACTCTTCTACTTTACAGAGAAAAGAGGAAAAAAGTGGCCTACTGGCCTGTTTTCCTCCTGCTTTGGCTGGGAGTATGGCAGATCTTTCATTTATTCTTTATATGCTATGAGCACCACCAATGTGCTCTCTGTATGTATTTGACCAGGGAAAAAAGCATCCCGTTCCAACTGGCCATCTGCTGCCTGCTGTGATAAACCAGATCCAGTGAAAATAAGAATCTAGCCTTGAGAGCCCAGTGACTAGGGCAGCAGGACTTGAAACAACCCATTTGGTCCTCCTACCCTCAAGAATACGTCTACAGGAATTAAATGCCTGTTCAGGTAGCACACTCTGCCCCTGGGTGCAATGGAGCTAGATAACAAACCGTGTGTATAATCTGGTCCAGATGTTGCTGAGCTTCAGAGACATCCACACACAATGTCTCTCTGGATACAAACCTGATCACCTTAACAGGGAGCTAAAGGCACACCCTTAATTGTGGGGAAACTAAGGGTTATTTCAGGAATTTAAGAAACCAGCTCTGAGAATGAGGAGGAGAGACATCCAGAATTGGAACATATATGGTAAATAAGAATTGTGTTGAACATAACACTGTTCATCCATAAATGTCTTAAAGAGATGTAGGAAGGTGGGATCTTGTTGAAGGGTAGTATAAATAAGCCTTGTACTGTTGATTTACAAGTGAGAACCTGTTAATGTGAAATAGTTAAATTTAGGTTGACAGGATAACATACACAATTAAAGGGAATGCCTTGGTGAATTGGTGCTTTCTGGGGTTTTTTTTGGTAGCACCACATCAGTGCATAATACTGAAGTGTGTTAGCATCTCCATTCAGCTTGAAGAATAATCAGAGGGATTTGTTTGATAAAGTAATATAATCTTGCATCTGCCAAGGTACTTGCAATACTAGAAGCCAGCTAATTATGCTATGCTTAGATTATATAGACTTCTATGTCTTGACTATTACATAATGACTACATAGCCAGTATTTTATACTTGCTCACTTTATATATCTACTTTAGCTCAATAAAAAAAAAAAAAAAAAAAAAAAAAAAAAGATCATATTTCACAGAATCACAGAACTGTCTAGGTTGGAAAAGATGTTGAAGATCATCTAGTCCAACCATTAACCTCACACTGACCATTCTCAACTACACCAGATCCCTAAGTGCTATGTCAGCTCTACTCTTAAATACCACCAGGGATGGGGACTCCACCACCTCCCTGGGCAGCCTATTCCAACACCTTACAACCCACTCAGAAAAGAAATATTTCCCAATACCCAGTCTAAACCTTCCCTGGTGCAGCTTGAGGCCATTCCCTCTTGTCTTGTCGCTTGTTACTTGGTTAAAGAGACTCATCCCCAGTTCTCTGCACCCTCCTTTCAGGGAGCTGTAGAGGGTGATGAGGTCTCCCCTCAGCCTCCTCTTCTCCAGACTAAACACCCCCAGTTCCCTCAGCCGCTCCCCGTACGACCTGTGCTCCAGACCCTGCACCAGCTTCGTTGCCCTTCTCTGGACACGCTCGAGTCATTCAATGTCCTTTTTGTAGTGAGGGGCCCAAAACTGAACACAGTCAGTTTTGTGATGATTACTTGCTTACGTCGTGACTTCCAACAAATAAGAACTGAGATCCTTTTGTGGGAAAATTCTGAGATCATAAATTATTAAGCAAACTTGCATGATGCCTCACATTTCTGCCTCTGATGAACAGTAATGTTGTAGTAACATTGGATTTTCAGTGGAACAATTATTTGGCTTCTTTGCAAAGAGCTATGCAAAGCCAAAAAAGGGCAGTAGTTTATTTCCTCTGCTGACAAAACAAAAATCTCAGGTCATTAAAAAAGAAAAGGCAAAGTTCCTGGAGTTTCATATTTTGCACACCACTTCAACTACTTTTTCACATTAATGAATGTTTTTGCCAAGATGTAAATCCATACGTTTCCCAGATTCATCTTCCCAATAACCACAATGGGCCATGCTTCCACCCACTGCCAGTAGTGAATACCACATTCTACCAGCAGCATTTCTCTTTTCTTCCCTGGATACAA